ATTATTAAAAAAACTCATTAAAGTCTGTCCGTTGGTTCATGAAATATTTTGCTAACAAAGACTAACAATAACCTGATCAGATCATTTTATGGTGGCGACAATAAAAAAAAAAATCCTGTTCTATGTTAATAAAAACAAGACTGGAGAAATTTAGGTTTAACAATCATTTAACTTGAGGTATTTTTAAACAATTAATTGGTAAATAAATGTGGGTGTAGTCAAACTATCAAGATTTATAGAGTTTGGAGCAGATGAGTTACTAAACGGTATTGTTTAATCATCACTGAAGTTTCTCACTATATCTCGAAATTATTGTATTATCTTGGACTTTGTGTTGACATTTTACAGATTAGTTCAGGTTTTATTGGAGAATTTTCCTAAAATAAAACTAAATGTCGGTACTACAGGCTGCGAAGCATCACAAGAACACGTTTATTCTTCTCTGCAACTTTTACAGTGTTTTAATCCCATTAAGGAAACGCCTCAATTCTATACTTCAACATCAAACTTCTTATTTATTTTTATTTTTTTCATACTCTGGTAACAGATTAAGGATCCCATGAGCAACTTGTAATACTATCACATCTTTTAGGTTACCTTTAAAAACATTGATGAATGAATGTTATATATTAGTTTGTTTGTATTCCAGTAGTTTTGTTTTTTTCTATAATTCTGCATAATTATGAGCTAAATCATCATCAGATTTTCATGCAAGTCCCAAAAGTAGATAAAGAGAAACCATTTAAACAAATGAGACAAAAATATTATACTTGGGCATTTATTTATTGAGGAAAATGATCCAATATTTCATATTTTTGAGTGGTAAAAGTATGTGAACCTTTGCTTTCAGTATCTGGTGTGACCCTCCTGTGCAGCAATAACTACAACTCAACTGTTCCAGTAACCTGATCAGTCCTGCTCACCAGCTTGGAGCCCACTCCTCCGTACAGAACAGCTTCAACTCTGGATGTTGGTGGTTTCTTCACATTAACTGCTGCTTCAGGTCCTTCCACAACATCTGGATTGGATTAAGGTCAGGACTTTGACTTGGCCATTCCAAAACATGAACTTTATTCTTCTTGAGCCATTCTTTGGTAGAACCACTTGTGTGCTCAGGGTCATTGTCTCGCTGCATGACCCACCTTCTCTTCAGATTTTTCATTCAACCTTTAAACAGGTAAATCTCATTGAGCCTCGAGGACTCATTTACAAGAGAGACCTGAGATTCAGTTCATGGACAGATGTTCTGACATGTTCCTTTAGAATTCTCTGATATAATTCAGAATTCATTGTTCCATCAGTGACGGCAAGCTGCCCTGGCCCAGACGCAGCAAAACAGGCCCAAACCATGATACTACCACCATGTTTCACAGATGGGATCAGGTTCTTATGTAGGAATGCAGTTTTCTTTTCTCCAAACACTTTTCATTTAAACTAAAATATTTGGTCTCATCCATCCACAAAACGTTCTTCCAACAGTCTTCTGGCTTGTCCACGTGATCTTTAGCAAAATGCAGACGAGCAGCCATGTTCTTTTTGGAGAGCAGTGACTTCCTCCTTCAACCCTGCCGTGCACACTATTGTTGTTCAGTGTTCTCCTGATGGACTCATGAACATTAGTCAATGTGAGAGGTCTTCAGCTAATTAGAAGTTACCCTGGGGTCCTTTGTGACCTCACAGACTATTCCTTGCCTTGGAGTGATCTTTGTTGGTCCACCACTCCTGGGGAGGGTAACGATGATCTTGAATTTCCTCTATTTGTACACAATCTGTGTGACTGTGGATCGGTGGAGTCCAAACTCTTTACAGATGGTTTTGTAACAATTTCCAGCCTGATGAGCATCAACAACTCTTTTTCTGAGCTCCTCGGGAATCTCCTTTGTTCCTGCCATGATCCACTTCAACAAACATGCTGAAATGAACAGACCGTGATGGATCCTGTTCTTTAAATCAAACAGGGTGTCCACTCACACCTGCTCATCACATTGATTGAAAACACCCGACTCTAATTTCACTTTTACATGAACTGCTAATCCTAGAGATTCTTTTACCATCACAAATATGTAATACTGGATTATTTTCCTCAATAAATACATGACTAAGTGTAAAATTTTTGTTCAATTTGTTGAACTGGGTTCTCGTTATCTACTTTTTGGACTTGTGTGAAAATCTGATGTTTTATGTCATATTTATGAAGAAGTACAAAAAATTCTAAAGGCTTCACAAACTTTCAGACACCACTGTATAAACACGTGTTTGTTAAAGCAAATTACACAAAGTGGAGAAAACAGAAAGGGAATCTATATCAAACCAATCCTTGATCTTTAAAAACAGCATTCATTCTTCTACTAGCAGTTTTTGAACAGACTCATGCAGGCAGCCCCAGACCAGCTCGATGTTGAGATTACTCCGTGCAGCTCATACGATCACTTCCAGGACTCCTAGTTTAAGCTGAAGACCGTTCTTAGAGACATTGAATGGATGTTTGGAGTCGATCTAAAATAAATTTGGGGTCAGTCAGACACTTCTTTACAGCAGTGTTTGCTAAGCATCTGTATTTCTCAGCACAAAAAAGGCTTCATTAATTCAGACCAAACATCCTCCACCAAGCTTCAGTGTTGTCCAGATCTGTGGAGAACAAACTGCCTTCTGATAACATCAGACCTGACTACCTGCTGCTGGTTTTGTGTGCACACAAATTACGTTTCTGTGTGCAATTAAGTCTCTTGGCCTTGTTTGCATGTCAGATGTAGACCAGACTTCTCCAGACGACAGATGTGCGTACTCGGATCCCACAAGTTTCTGCAAGTTCTGAGATGAGGACCCTGCTCAACGTCTTCCAGTCCACTGCGTCCAGTCCTCAGCATTACAAGTTTCAGTCTTGCAACCTCAGTCTCTTTACCTGAAAGAGACCTCGCTGGTGTTGGTTGCGTCTTGTCATGGTGTCTGACCTACAACAAAGCAGAGTTCCACAACCTCAAATTGGCAGGAAGGTTTGGCCGTTTCCTTGCCCAGGTCCATGCATCCTACATCCATTTGTTTCAATGACCATTTTTTAACCTAAAAATAAACACGATGGTCGTTAAGAACTGATAAATAACATGCCAGACAACAGTCCTAGAAAATCCTTGATTTTACGTGAGCATACCTAGAAAAACAGTGCTGTTAGGAAGATTAAAGGGTGGACACAAAATTACCGTAATTTCCGGACTATAAGCCGTTCACAGGCTTTGAAACCCGTAGCTTATAAAACGCTGCGGCTAATTTATGGATTTTTTTTTTTGTTGACAGGCTAAGGAGCTTCATGCCGCCAAAATATTTAGCCTCGTCACACCTGGGGGCTCACATAGCTGCCCAATACATGTCTCTCGTGGGTTCCACATGACTCAATGAGACTACCTGTATAAATAAAGGAATTTTAAAAAATTTGACCAATGAATTTACCAAACAGGTCACAGTGGATAAATGAAACGGGGAGGGAGGCATGATGAAGAGGGCCATGCAGGAGGAATATGAAGATATCGATCAGTGACTTCCTGGTAGGCTACTGCATTTTTTTTTTTAACCAGCCATTACCGGCACTGTTCCAAAAAAAAAAAAACATTTACTGTACGTATTTGTGTATATTACCAGTATGTATTTAATTAAAAGTTTTAAAAAATCTTTGTGTAAATATCTCTTGTTACAACGTGGACACCCGCAGCTTATAGACAAGCGGAACCTTTATATGTAATATTTTATTTTATTTTTAATTTAGTAGGCGCGGCTTATATTCGGGTGCGCTCAATAGTCCAGAAATTACGGTATTGATTTCATCTGATAAAATAAAAACACAGATGTGCACATACTAAGTTGCTTTTATTAATACAGAACTGCATGCTACAGAGACTGTACAGCATAAACATTTATTCAATACAAAAACATGGTTTTAGAACCATTTAAAATAACAGGAAAAACAAACAAACAAAAAGATAAGAGCATAAAATAGAACAGGAACATCACAGCCGTTAAGGAAACATTCAAACTATTTATCATTAGCATTTTAATAAACCAGAGAAGAAATCGACAGATTACAGTCGCGTCATGTCAACTACAATGGCACCGAGTGGATGATTCTCTTGTAGCTTTTTTTACAGCCTCTTGCAACATCAACATGCCTATTTTTTATCTACCTATATGTAGTAGTGTACTTAAAAGTGGCAGTTTGTGTATTTTTTTGTATTTAATAAGTTTTTTTATGAACCTCCTAATATACATAATTTGGCCCTTGTGGGTTTATACAGTATGATGTCCGTCTTTTTATTAATTTTAATATTTGACATTTTGCTACCAAACACAGTTGTTATAGCAACATTTATACTACATACATAGCAATCTATGTAACGTCACAGCAAAGAATGGTATCAAAAGAAAAGAAAAACGAACAACAACAGAACCAAAAAAAATAAAAAAAATCCCTACAGCATGTTTTTTTGGGGGAGGGGCAGAGAAAATTAGCACAAAATTTGGCACGGAAAATCTGTACACGAATCTACAGTCCGAGAAATGTGACTGTGCAATAAAAAAAGAAGGACTTGAGTCGTTTTTCTCGCCGGCTACTGAAGACACGGTACCCACCGTCTGGTTTCAAGTTTGCTTTTCCTTTTTTTGTGTGTGTGTGTAAAATGGCTTTTAGACGGATTCCTTGAAATGAAGTTGTGCATACTTCTGTTCATGAGATCTACCCAGTACGCCGAGTGGAGTCCAGGTGTTTCAGCGAGGAAAAAAGAAATCAACACAAGGTTTGCGTTCCAAAACCTCCTTGTAAAAATGGATCATTCATATAGTTATTTTACCTTAAGAAAAAATATTTGTACAATGTATCAAGAGGGGGAAAAAAAAAGGAGACACATACAAGATACAACAAGCAATCTCTAAAGCAATAAATACTACTGGTCTTAGCGTTGTGACATTTTTGAATTTTATAACCCTCCCACCCAACCCTCCCTCAAACCCACCCAAACTTGCCCGACTCCGCCCCAAAGGTAAACAAAACAAACAAAAAAAAGACAACGCAGTGGAAGAATGCATATATAACACATTAATTCCCCTCCCTCCCCAATATTCTGTACATTTAAACAAGAACAAGTAACATCACAATTAAAGTTGTTCCTCGGAGGTGTCGCCACAAGCCTCATGCCCTCCAAGAGTCTGAACGGATGGTGAACGATTGGTTCGCAAGCTCGTATTTAATACAAATAAAGAAGGAGAACCAACTCTTTCAAGGGGGGAAAAAAAAAGGCTCGCTGAATATTCTACCTTTTTTTTTTAAATATCCGTCTTTTAAACATTTTGATGTTGAACTAGATACATTTGCTTTGTTTGCACCGTTGCACTACAAAAGAAGACTAAACAAAATCCATAAAAATTTTGGCAGATTCACAAAGCTATACTACAGCTCCTTGTATCATTTCTTTATTATAATTAGATTCGTTTTGATAACGAGGGGTCAAATATTGACCAATGAACTTTAATAAAACTAAAATTTCGAAGCCTCACGGCACAGAAACATAAAGAGAACGAAAACTGACGGCGAGTGAGATTTCGCAGAGAGAGAGCATCGAAGGGTGAGTGTAAAGCTAAAAAAAAAAGAAAAATGGAGGCTATTCTATAGACTTGGTCACTAGCGACAGCGGCTGGGAGGCTGTGGAGGGGAGGAGCGAGTGGGAATGACACAGCGATGCCGATTGCCGGGCCATCGAGGACACCACAGAGGAGACCGGCTGCCGCGAGGACGAGACGTCGCTGTGCTCCAGAGATCCGTTGTGGGAGGAGGCGCAGGGCGCTTTGCCGGCCGAGTTTTCCATCTGAACCAAAGATGACGATGGAGGCCCAACCAGGAGGTGAGGGTGGTGGAGTGGCTGGTGGGCCGGTTTCATAGTCAGTGAGAGAGGTTGCATTTGTTCAGTCTGAGGTTTGGACTCTTTTGGAGAGGGGGAGGGAGCGACGGAGGAGGGGGAGGATGGGGGGGAGTCTAGTAAGCTTCCGTCCGTAGAGGGAGGACTGGCACAGCTGCCTTCACCTTGGATGTAGCGAATGCACTTTTTTTTTCTCCTGAGGGACAAAGTAAGAGAGAGAGAGAGCATCTTTCAGCGTCAACGCATTGAACTTCAGAGCCTTCTGGCCCCGACGACGACTTAAATGCACCTTTTTGAATTAACAGAACCTGTTGTGTGAATCATGATCAAAAGGTGTATTTAAGCAGTGTTAGAAATCGTGTGCGAAAGGGAGAAAAGCGGTAAAGACACTAAGCCGTCAGACTGAAGAGACATTACAGAAAGATCACAGGTGAAGCACCTGAACAGGAAGCAGGAGGGGAATGAAACACACACACAGATGATAGAGGATTAGAAAGGGTGGTGTTTGCTCTCTGAATTTAAAACTCTCCTTTCTTGAAGGAATAACTCCGGCTACAGATGAGCTTGTTGTCCCAACTCACTATACGGTACTTATACTTCCATCGGGCTCAACCAGATCCACATAATACATCTGCCCCACAGACACAAGTGTAAGTTTGCATCAGGGGTCAAGGCATCGTGTTTACATTCCTGCCTGGGGTCAAGCCCCCTCCCCTGCACGTCGAGTCCTAAGGCCAGACCAGTTGTGCTCTGTGGAAAGCGATGAACGAACTGGACTGAGGGCGAGTTTTGCTGCATTTATCTGCAGCAGCTTCTGCTGTGAAGACGGTGTTCAGATTTGGTTAAGGGGGGAATCTCCTGCCCACTTCATCTGTAGCCTGACCCCGACAGTGACCCCCTCCCCCCATTTTCTCTCCCTCAGCTCTCAGTTCTACCACAACTAAGCCAGAAGCCTTTCTTTTCTTTTTTTAAAGCCTTACAGGACGATGAAGGTAAAAACAGGCTGATGTGTTTTAGGCCTTGTCACTTTATTCGTCATGAACACGTCAACATTTCAAGAAATGCTTTCATCTACACTGAAAACAGAAAAGGACCAAGTTTCTAACGTAACTTCTCCAGAGATGTGTGGTGCTGTAACGCTGCCGGGAAGAAAAACTAAATATTTTCTGTGGACTGATAAAGTGGAACGACTCCATGTCATATCCAACTACTGATGACTGCCTGAAATGATCCAGTATGTCCAGGTATCTGGACTGGCACAACTACCACAGTATCCAGCTAGGGAAAGCTGTAGGGGTGAATTTTCTACATGATGTTCAAAGCACTTCAGGCTCAGGCTAAATTTATGCATATTAGTCTTTAAAAACTATTCCCATTTCTCACATTTTTCATATATAATGTAAATCTTTACTTGCCAAACTTGTTTGTATTACTGACAGTGTAATAAAGTGATGAAAGCCTTTGGGCCTTATATAACTTGGTGTAATTATAAGTTGTTGTGTTGCGCTCATCATGGCAAAGTCATCGTCTGCTTATCCAAGTAATAGAGTACTGGTATACAAAGGTTTTACTTTAGCTGAGCAACAGGCATCTGCAAAACAAATGTAAGCTTGTAATCAGGTCATCAGGTCTCTCTTGTAAAGGAGTCCTCGAGGCTCAATGGGATTACCCGTCTAAATAAAGGTTGAATGAAAAAAGTAATCTGTTTTGAACCACTGGCTATGGCTGCCTTAGAGGAGTCGACGGGGGAGAGGGCAGGCCTCAGAAGCCATCTTATCACCAGCAAACTGGTTGGTCCACTATGTGAATGTGCTGCTTGTGGGACTGAATTTGTTTTGGCTCCTCGGACTGATGAAGTCCTTTGGATGAAGGACAAAACGTCTCAAAAAAAAAAAAAAAAGTCCAAATGACCAGACTGAACCTTGTTGCATGTAATCTGTTGTTACGTCTGTCGTTCTTGGGGGTGTATGTTAGGCAGGAGGTGGGCTAGGCCTGTCACAACAAATTTTGCTGGGCGATTAATTGTCTCAGAAATTATTGCGATAAACAATAATATTGTTTGAAATTTGACAATAATTAGTAATTATTGTCAAATTTAAGAAAAGGTGTTTGTTAATTTTTGTGTGTAGTACCTTTTCTTGACCACTGGATGACAGTTTAAGACTGTTTGAACCAAAGGATGGCTAGTGAGGGAGCGAGCAGAGTCTCTTTTTTTAAAGAAAAATGGGAGGGATGTCCCTTGACGTGGTATGGGCTGTCTCTCTTTTTTTTCAGTTCTCAAAATGGCAGACGCTCGGTGTGGTTTGAGCTCTTTAGCGTAGCATTTGTCACACTAAGCTTTTAATAAAAAATCAGTAAACAAGTTCTCAGCTTCTTTTTGCAGAGAAAAACAACTTTTTAGATGAAGGCACGGGTTTCAACCATGAATTTTCGGAGCGTTGACAAGACGGAGGTTTTTTCCCCGAGGTCGGCCTGTTAGCTTAACTCGTAGCTTAGCTTCTCAGTTTAGCTGCTTTTAATGAGCAATTTTGGATGGTTAAAATGGATTTTAAAGAGAAAGAGAGGGGTCTAAGAGCACTAGAGATGAGACTTTTGTCATCCAGTGTCCAGTAGAAAGAAAGACACAAAGAAACAATAAAGCCGATAAATGACAATGAGTTCGATAACTTTAATTTATCAAGCGATTAATTGATTTATTGTTTATCGCAACAGGCCTAGGTGGGGCTATGAAATCACCGTTTTCACAAAGTTGCATTTTGGCTGCCCAAACAAGAACGCAAGGGTGGATTAAAAAAAAAAAAAATCACTCTGGAGCTTGGTTTCAAAAGTAGAGTTTTGGAGACTCTGCTTGTGGACGCAAGGCTGAAACAATTAGACGTGTGTTCACAAAATGCTGTTCCCGTGTGGACAGCATCTTAAACCTTTTCTTGTCACTCTTATTAACAAACTACCATAAATTCAGAGAGCATGTGTTGACAATGTAAAAGGGAGAAAGACATGAAAAGATGCCAACAAAACCTTGATCACATGCTGAGTGAATAACAGACATGCATTTCTGATGAACTCAACAGTTCAAGAAAACAGTGAGGATAGGCTTTTAAGATCAGTCTGCGCTGAAACTAAGATCAGGACGGTGCAGAGCATCGACCTGGAATAAAGGTATCGTTTTGCTTCTACGTACACCTCACGGGCTCTGTAACTGTCCGTGAAGGTGCAACAAATGAGCTAATATCCATTTTTTAACAGACATATTGATTTATAGTATGTGCCCGTGTATGTTATTGATTCTCTATCTCGGGGGAAATTACACCAGATTTAGGAAATGGAGCCCAGAGAGAACTTTTCACCTCTCTTGACTGAATTACAGCACTTTTCAACCTCTTGATCTCCATGATAGCTATTATTCTTTAAAATACAATGCCATATTTTTGATCATGTTCAAGTCAGCTGGATAGGAAAATAAGAGGCCCCAGTGGAGAAGGAGGACTGTGGATGAAGCGTGAACGCCAATTCTTTTTAGTCATTGAGCGCACTTGAAATTGTATCAAAAATGAACAACTTCTTTCATAAATACAAAACAAAAGGAACCACTTAATTTGATCTTCAGCCCATCCATGAGTATGTCTAAAACCATTCAGATGAAACAGCAGAAATGGGGTTGGAATGATTGTGATGGAAGGCAGACACGGAGAAGGGTTTTATTTAGCAGAAACAAATACCTACCATGAAAATATTCCCAATTCAAAGACTGCTTGTGTCAGAACAGAAAGACAACAGGTAGGGACTAAGTAAGGGTTATTGAAGAGGAGGAAGAGGTGGAGAAGGAAGAGGAAGAGGGCACAGAAAAGAGTGTCACTGAACAGGCCCTCAGAGGAAGCAGGGCTAAATTTGTAAGCATTACATTGCCAATTAGAACATACATCGACAGTTAAGATAAGAGGGGATTATCAAATACTTGGGACAGAAAATGGATTTCTGCTCTAAAAAAAAATGTATAAAGCAAGAAATAATTCCAAATTGCAATGGGAACGTTGATCTTTCTACTTGGAAAAAGGTGATCTCGAAATCCATTTTCTGCCACTGGGCTTGAACTGAGTTTGAGAAATAAAAAGTTGTGCAGGAATTTAGAGGAGCAGGAAATTTCTCAGTGAGGACAAAAAGAGAGTTTGCCATCTGTCAGCACACTGATGGAGCCAATAATCAAAGAGGAAGCAGCTCAGTGTGAATGTCTTTCCTTTGATTGCTACTACAGCAGTTTTATACCTGCATGGTTTGCACCATAAACTCAGCTGGTCAAGCCCGAACAAGGCACGACACTTCTTTGGGGTATTTGCATCTGTTAGCCAAAGAGGTAGACACAAACGCACAGACAAAAAAAAAAAAAACAAACAAGAAAGACAAAAAAAGAAAATGTACACGTCATTGCACAGACAAAAAACATAGTAGCCAGGGCTTAGATTTAGGCTGGCAACACTAGGATAACCTCCATATTAACCAAGCCATGAGACTCCAGAAACTCCAAGCCCCGACCTGCCAGTTCAACACTTCTGACCAATCTCAGTGAGGCCTACTGTGCATCCTGCAATGAAACCCTTGCAAATTTATCCACACATTCATTCAAACGCATCCGTCATTCCCACAAACACTCTGGCGTATGCCAATACCCTTATCCCCCCCTAACAGGAAGTTAAAATCAATCAGCAAGAACCCCAGAAACAGACCGGCAGGGCGTGGCTGGAGGAAGCTGAGAGGTCACAACAGCCTGGCAGGACAGACAAAGGGGGAGGAAGGCGGAGAGGTAGAAAAGCAGCACAGAGCAGAGGAGGAAGTCCCAGCGTACAGTTTTACCCAGCCTTCACCTGGCCCCGGCCAGTGCAAGCGCACACCATACACACCTGCACGGGCCACACCAGTTATTCTGTTGATCGAGCCCAAAGCGCGCTCGACACTTCTTAGGAGCGCTCAGGTCTGATGCCGCAACAAGGAAGAGAAGCCGGCAGAGAGGAGGAATAAAACCAGTAAAATAAGAAAAAAGTCAAAACAGAAGGAAAAAAAACTGAATCTATGAAGGTTAGCAGTGGCTCATAGAGCAAGAAATTCCTCTAGAGCACACAAAGCCATGATCAATTGTGCATTTAAAGACAGAGCAAACACAAATGTATTATTCTACAAAAAGAGTATAAATCCAAACACGTGCAGATAATCAGATTATGATATTAATATGGGAATAATCACTTTCATTCATAAGCTCTGACAGAAGTTAAAGCCTGAAAGTTTTTATTTGGTTGAGAGGATTTAAACAGAGCAAATGCAGATTAGATTAACTTGCTGTTAAAGTGCTATCAGTCCACTATGGCTTTAAAAATAAAGGGTCAAGGTGGCAAACTAGGCAGTGGTAGCGGATTATTTAAACGGCAATTAGTCTTATCTGGGGAGGGGGGGGGATTAAAAAGGCTGGAATCGACTCTTCAGAGCTGGCGTCAAACAGACGGTTGTAATCCTGTCAATTGCCAGTCTGCTCTATTCAGTTTTATTTGTGATAACATCAGAAGTAGAGCAGAGTGACTGCACGATCCAGTTCGAGTCCAGGCATCGTCAGAGTAGAAACTTTTTTTTTTTTTAAGAAAAAGGAGTAAGGCCAAACTCATGCTGGTCTGAAGGAAAGGGACAAGCGCAGCTACCAAAGCTTTTAGATTAAGGAGGTTTACCCTGACGACACACTCTTTACTTTACAATAATGAGCTAGATTTATTTTCGTCAGCCCCTCACGCACACTGCATTGAGATTTTGACAAACTATGGAAAAGTTCTGAACCAAAAAGTGACAGTAAAATAAGAAATGTAGTCTAGCTTGAAGTCAAACAACCATTTTTTTTTGTTTTTAAGAAAAGAAAGCAGCAAACAAAAGTAAAGGAGCATTATCAGAAGGGAAAAATAAATAAAGTAAACCTGTCTCATACTGCACAATTATTGGTAATTACATATGCATTTTTAAAAAAAAGAGAAACAGTTAGTAATTTAATACTCAAAATGATATTAGCACCTGTAATCGGAGGGAGTGAAAGGCAAGGGTTTGGAAAATATTCTCTGTGTTCTGAAAAAAAAGAACAGATAGAGAGGCCTTCAAGAAGAAATCCGTCACCAAAACGACCGTAAAAAAAATACACAAATAAGGCGACATAGCTCCTCGCATTATGATCAGAAGAGTATGAATCATGGGAATAAAATAAAATAAAAAGTATATATGGATAAATCACAGAATTAGCAAACCTCCTTAATTTGAAGATGTGATTTCTCTAAATAAAAGCATGCAGAGAAGCAAGCAAAGGGGGGCCCCCAACAAGCGCACACATGCACAGTCACTGAGTCACATGCACGCACACTCATTACAGCACTGCAGGCGATCTGTAGGGCACAGGCGATGTAAAACAGGTTCACACACACACACAACACTGTCAAAGTTAATGACTCTCGCAATGCTTCAACTTCTTAAAAACACGTCTCAAAATACCAGGGGGCTAAGAGCCCAAGCAGGGTGGGTGAGAGGGACTGTGGAGGGTCATGCATATTCAGTTATTATTAGCTAGGGACAGCTATGGAAAATGGAGGGGGGGTTACAAGCAACTCTACCATTTAAACATTGCATTTGGTAGCATAACTATACCAAGAAAAGAAAAAAAAAAAAAAAAAAAAAAAGGCAAGCATAATAATATATTTTTTTAAAAACAACATAAGAAAGAAAAAAAGATATACAAGCTTGACTTTTATCTTGCAAGATGTCACATCTGCCTGACACATGATGGGGCTCTTCTAATATGAGAGATAATTGCAGCTCACTTACCATTGCTCTCTGCTTGCTGCTTTTCCCTTTTTCTCTTCTTCCTTTTCCCCTGTTGGTTAGCCGCCAAAAAAATAGAAAGAAAAATAAAATAGACACAGACAGGAACCTTAGTTATTATATAGCAAGAATGCCCAAAACATGAAACAGAGAATAGGACTCATCTTTGTGTTTACTTATTTATTCATTCACTCTTTCTCTGCCTTGTTTTTTTTTTTCCCTCTTGTGTTTGCCCTCCGGTTTGTAACAGCCACTGCTGGCCAGACAACTCTCCCTCCTCTCGCTGTTTTCTGTCTCTTTCTGCGCTCGTCTTCTCCTCTCTGTATTCTTTTTATTTTTATTTCCCTCCGCAAACATGTAGACATTCTGACACACTTCTGCTTCAAAAGACGGATTTCTCTGCGGCTACTCAACAAAGACTCGTGTGGTCAGCTTCAAAAATCCGGCTCTTGTGCGTCGGAACAAAGAGTCCGGGATGCTAAGCATTCAACACTAAAAATATGTGCTCCAAATGCAATTTTAGACAATTAAATACTTTTTAGACGTAATTAGATTATGTACTTTTGGTTGATTTGGTGGTGTGCGAGAGCTATTTTTGAACGGTGGCAACAAACAGTAGGAATACAAGTGATGAAAACAATTAGGGTCCACTTTAAACGAGCTATAAATCAAATTATATAAAAACGTGGAAAATATCTTGTGGACTCTCCATTTTATGACTGAAGACGTCAAAAGTTCAATGTCAAAAGTCAAGAAAAGACCAAAGAAGGTTCACTACAAGATGCAAAGCACAGTTTACCACAAAAACAAGAAGTTTGTTGTGATCCTTTTGGCTATGAACTCCTTCAGGTGGAACTAGCATTAACCCGAAAAGTATAAAAGAGCTTTCTACGTCCAAAGATTCATCAAAACTGACACAGCCTAATAAAAACCTAAAGAGCTTTTCAGAGCAAACCAGGTCAATTTGATCATCTCACAGGAGCAACATTCAGATTATTGATAAGTCTAAATGTGTAGTTATTGCAACAAGCAAAACTGAAAATATCTTTAAAGCATAATCATGGAAGATAAAGTGTTTAAGGACTGATGCTTAAGACAATCCTCTACACATATAGTGTCGTTTGACTGTCACTTTGTGTGTTATGTACCAAAAACACTCCGTTTTCCCCCTCAATATCAATGCAGACCCACACGCATCAAGCTGCATTATTTAAACACAGACGCACGCTTCAGACGAATCTAATACCTCGAACCACCTGTATGTCCAAAACTAATGGCGGGGGGAAAGAACAGGCTATTACAACTTGTAAACTTAAAAACTTACATAGTTGTCTCGTGCTGACCAGCCAGGGTACAGCTGCATGTGGAGCTGTCGTTCTTTCCTGGCCAGCTCGTAGTACTTGGCCTGCTCCTCTCGCGATAGGGCGTGCCACTGTGAGATGACAAGCAGCTCAGGACTTTAGCCACAATCACTTTTGAGTTCCAGGTATGATGGAGACATGGTTTTGTTCAAGTCAGCATTGTTCCGTTCGACTTTGTACTCACCCTCCGCCCCAGGATCTGGTTGATGGCGGCGCTTTCTTTCAGTGTGCACTCAGCCACCACCTTGGCCCTCATCTCCTTCATGTAGAGCATGAAGGCATTCAGAGGCTTCTTTATGTGGACCTGCTTCTTTTTCTCCTCTTCCTTTTTAGCATCTGACTGTTTCCTATGGTGGGGGGGTGCAGAGGGCAGTGAGATGAGAAAAATGAACCAACAAGCGTCATTAGACTGAAAAAAGTTGAGTTTAGGCCACAAAGAGTTTCACTCACGAGCTGTTGAGAGAGCTAATGTCGCTGTGGGAGGATTCCTGCTTGACGTTGGGTGTGACGATGGCTGGGTGAGGGATGCCCGTGGTGTGCAAACTGTGGTGGGGGGGCACCATGTGTGGGGGGAACCTTGAGGACAGAAGACTGTGTAAATCGTCAGAATGGACACGGGTGAAATGAGAAGATGGAACACAAACAAGACTTAGCAACTGCAGCCAAAATGTATATTTTTAACATTTATATATGTAAATTGTAAATACATATTGTTCTTTTTTACTGTTTTTAAATGGATTTGGCCTTGAGTTACAAGAACGACACACATTTATACACAAAAACAATAAAAATGTCCAAGGCTGAATTCCGTGTCGGTCATAAACTTTTACAATAGATTTTTTTTAACATATCAAAGAAGGTGAAAATAGAGCAATTGTTTTTATTCTCTGAGACTAACAAAAGTTCTCATGAAACTGTGAATGTATTTTAATTAAAACTTTGATAAAGTAATCATTGGGTTAACAAATGACTCATTTATAGTGAGTTCAAAGAAGACTGTTACAGTCTTGGCAAACGTAAAAAAAAAAAAGCTATAGCTCGATCAAGTTTACAGATAATGAGCTGAAATGTGACGTGCTAGTAGCTGAGTCTGACCCCCAGCTTATGCTCTGAGCACTAACTGATAATAGCATGAGACCTATGTATAGAACTTTGCCATTAACCATTGGAACCAACTTTGTTGAAAAAATTTCTCATAAGCAACTGAAAGTAGTGGTTCCCAACCCTGGTCCTTGAGGAACACCATCCTGCATGTTTTAGTTGTTTCACTGCTCCAACACACCTGATTCAGTGATTTAATTACTTCCTCATGTTCTGCAAAAGCCTGTTAATCACCCATTAATTAAAATCAGGTGTGTCGGAGAAGAGAAACAACTAAAACATGCAGGATGGTGTTCCTCAAGGACTAGAGTTGGGAACCCCTGATTTTTCATAAAGTTCTACAATTGATTATCTTTGGAGTCAACTCAGTTCAAGATGGCTGTTGCACCTGGTCAACATTAGTCTATATAAAAATGGCTACACCTCAGTGAATTTTACAGACACTAAGCTAAAATTGGGTATGTGGTAGCTACGAGTCATTCACAATACTTTGAGCTAACAGATTATGCAAGATCAAGCAATACTATATAAAACTGTATTTTGTAAGGTTAAACCAAAACTGCTTTGATGCCATTCCTCAACATAAGGTTGAGAATTTACATATTTATTTTCTACAACGTTACTCTAAATTGGACACGTAATTCAGCCTGGATGATTACACATTTTACACAAGTATATGGCAGATAAACTATCAACTGTCATCAGATCTGTGGTAAAAATTTTAAAATAAAACTATGTGATGTAAAAACTAGACAAAACATGTTCTTGATTAAACTTCTTAAAAATCAGCATGTCTTGAGAAATTGCCACTTGGACAAATGGAAATGTTTCGTGATTCCTGTATGCAATCACGTTGCTCACATATAAAAGGTGATCGTGTTTAATTTTAGTATCATTTACAAAATGCAGGCAGGTAGATTCTAAAAACATCAATTATTGATAATCATATAATCTACAGGTTACTGTCGACCAACTCATCTGATAAGAAACTGCATAGTTGCAGTTGGGAAAAATTGCAAAGTAGGTGAAACTGTCCAGCTATCAGTCAAAATTTTGGGTCCTTATTTGCTTCCTTCTGCTTATTTCTGTAGCTTCAGCACTGTCAGCATCACTGACATTTTATTTCTCCTTCCTCTTCACTCCTATCATCATTTCGTAATCTCCAACTGTTCCACATATGGAGGCCAGAAGCCCTTATTTAAGGAACAGTTTCACTGACCAGAGCAGCTACGAGATGATGCCACGCTGTGGGTGTGTGACAATAATTATCTGAAAATGTATATCTGCATGTGTACGTTTAAAGGCTTCGGTTCCATGTGACCACACACAAATTTAAGAGGAAAAAGAAGGATGAAGGAGAAGTGGGGAAAAAAAAAAAAGGAATAATTCTTTTTTTGTGTGTGTGTTGCTGTTAAAGCAGCTCATTATCCGGCTGTGTCTGGCTGCATGGCTCCGAGCCAGAATATAATGATGAGAATAAACTCGCCAGGAACAACTAGTTTCTGTTGGAGGCCATCTCTGGGGAGTACCGGTGCTCCCCCCTCAAACTCTTTTCCTCCTTTTCCCTCTTCTCCCTTCATCACTGACACATTGGTGTTTGTGCCATGTCATCCGTTGATGGGGAGCTCGGCAGCAGTGGCTGCATATCGCCCATCATTAAGGCTGCATTTTCTTCACTCGCTCCGTTTCCTTTCTCCCTGTTCACCCTCCCTCCTTCTCTCTGTGCACTTGTTAAAATTTCCTCCGTTCCAAGATTCTTCTCTACTCCTTCTTGTCCTCTCGCCACCTCCTCCCTTCATTTCCTCCTCGCCGTCCCTCCCCTCGTCCTGCTGCCACCGCACGGCCCAGGTTATGGTTAAAACATGACGGCCGTCCCTTTGAAGAGTCGGGGCATTATCATCGTCGTCGGGCTCATCAGCAGCGAGCACTGACTCGGACCAATTTAAGCAACACAGAAAGGTAGAAGCGGAGGAAACCCCCCACCTTTCTACCCACCCTAGGGCTTCTACGTCTCAATCTAAAAGGTAAGAATAGCTGAAGGGGTGGAGTAAGGAAGGTAGTGTAGGGGATAGTGGGAACGGGTCACCGGCACAGCAAGCCCAGCGTCAGCCAGCGCCATTTAATTGCCAGTGCAAAGCAGCAGCCCCCGCTCTTGTTTAATATATAATGATCTGGCCGTTGCAGTTCTCCCCATTCCCAAGGAAAAGGATGGAGCGGCATGACAGGAGAACATATCAAAGGGCAGGCTTAAGGATAAGGGGCAAAATGGCCTTCACATCCACCCACCTGTCCCACATACATACACACAATATGGGGACCTTGCACTGGCTCAACCCCATTATCAAAATAATGTCTCATGAATGTTTCTTTGCTCTCCTTTTCCTTCTTTTATTGAAGCATATATTTTTTAACAGGACCAAGTCGACAAAGTGCTATGCAGGACTGAGTTTGCAGTGTCATCCTTTGAATCCAATTCAGTCTCTACACAAGGGGATTCATACGAAGTAGGCTCCTCTTGCTTAAACCTAAATCCTGGCAAGAGTACAAGACCTAGATGCCGTTTCTGTGTGATTTCATCCAGTTAGCAAGCTTGCTATAGACTGTTTAAGCCCGAAATGTGCAAATGTTTTCATATGTGGGCCAAAACTATCAAGATGAAAGGACTCGTAGTTCACAGAAATGTGAATTTAACTCTCAACGTGAACAATATTTTGAAGAACAAAAGTTTACTAATTTTGGTGGAAAAAGTTTTAAATTCTTATAGATCCAAAACTTTAAAAGCCTCATAAACACTAAGCTTATATTTTTTATTAAAAAGGATTTGATTTATTGGGTCTATGTTTGTCATTTTCTTGTGTTTGGAAAGTTCAATTTATTTTATTCTCACCAACAAAAGCTTAATTTGAGTAAGTGTCCTTTTTAAAAGAGGGTCTATCAGCCTTTTGGACCATGGACGGTCCAAAAGACTGATTAAAGTTCTAAAAAATCATCCAGCTGTCAGTTGCTACAACAGATTTATGGCAGGTTTGATAAAGTTGATCAACTCGTATGTAGATGATATCACGTTATATTCATTTAAAATGTTCAATATCCCTCTATGATTATTTTATCAACCAATATTTAGCCAAGTTTTGTGAATCATTATCCAAAAGTCACCTTACTTTTAGAAATCAGTAAAAGTTTGTGGTATTTTGTACAATGAAGTGAAATTAAAAGATTATAGCCAAAGCTTTGTATTTTGCTTAATATTGCTCATTTTGAGAAGATCGTTTTTCATCAGTTTTGCTGTTAAACCTAAACATTGTATAAAAAAGATTACCAACTAATTGGCAGAAAGTTTGCATCGACCTCTTAAGTCTGCTGGCCAAAATGATACCATTCTTAAACTGCAGTTGTGGGCAGCACAAAATCACTCCAAGGGCCGCAAATGACACTCGGGCAGCTCTTTGGACACCCGTGGTTTAAGCTGTCACAACAATCTGGCCTTTTCTTTGAACAAAACCAACCAGCTAAAGGCTATGTATGAAAAGAGTCTGCTATTTTGCTGATGCAATTAGACCAATTGTTGGGAAATTTTTGTCAGCAGTTCAAATTTTCTCCTCTACTCCAGTAGTGTGAGGGTGGGGCAATGTGCTAAACCCCTCCCATTCTCCAGAGAAGTCCCAGAGCTCTCCATCTATTCAGTTAAACTAATTCAATTAGGGGCCTCATCACAGAGCATTAGCTCTTCCCCTTGGCCAGTCCTCCCCCCCTCCCACACCCCAGCCAGTATATTCAATTAGTTTCACTGGAAATAGGATGATCACATTGTAGACGCTGTCATTAAGGAGCCAAATTAGCAGTCGCTTAAAGCCCAGGTTGGCTGGGTCCTGCTGCCAACGTCCGGGGACAGACGCAGAATCTGACTCTCTGCATCTGAAATTTGCTGGAACGAGGAATTCTGACTCCGATTGAAAGGTGAAGCTAAAGCAAGAAAGCGCCTATTTTTTTTTGTAACAAATGCAAAGAAAACAACAAAAAAATAATTCAGTCAGCATTAAGCTTTTTCCTCATTTTATTGGCCAAGAATAAAAAATAATAAATTACACATATATATATTTATTTACGTATATATTTCAAACCCTAGCAGTTGCCTTCAAGCATGCACGATCCATCACTGTCACATAGGTCTAAACAAGCCGCCCTCAGGAACTGCTTTTCCAACCAGGCTGTAATTTAACTAAAGCTAGGCTTCATCCCTTTACTTTTAGAGTTCCCTGCTGTACAGGCATGAAGAGGGAGGAGGAGGAAGGAGCAGTGCAGGCAAAGCGAGCGACAGTCTATATGTTTTGTGTGTGTGTGTTGCTGCTGACTTTTTGACTCACTCAAATAGGGCTTTACGCAATCCAAATTAATTATGTTCCCGTTACAGACAATATAGAGGACATGGATTCCTCAGGGGAACAATATGTTGTAAAACACCAACATGGATGCACACCTTAACCTCGTGAGCGCACTCATGTCCACAGCAGCACTTGAACTAGACCCTAACGAGCTGGAACCAAAGCAGTAGCCGAGTGTCGGCTTACATCATGTTGTCACCTTCAAAGTGCTGCTGTTTGTTTATCTGTTCGGCCGCTCAAACTCACAGCAAGGACATTCCCTGGCTCGTTTCAAATCTGCCTGACATGCAGTGGGGGTAAACGTTCTTCAGGGGCCTCATTAGGAAATGATAAATATAATTAATATTTGAGCACGTTAGCTGGAGCTCCCACACTAGAGTTGGCCTTTTGAACACATGCGATGGGAAGTACGAGCTCTCCTTTAAGGAGAAGTTTGTGCTCACCGACAAACACAAACCAACATGTGAGTGCGAAGTGTGTGTGTGTGTGTGTTGGTGTTTTACACCTTGGGCTTAACTCACCTTGACATGGATGCGTTGACAGTGAGTGCAGTTGGGTAGGGGTGTCTAAAACCCCCTGTTGTGATTGGATAAACAGGTTGACCTTGCCTAGGAAGAGGGAGGAAAAGAAGAAAGAGGAAAAGGTAAAGGAACAGGGTTGATGGAAGAGGAGACGCCAAAGCCCTCTGTTTCTCACTTCTCCCCACCGTGGGCCTCTTTATTCTCATTTGATCAGGACAAAAATCTAGGGGATTGCAGATCGCAGATCAAAGGGAGGAAAACTGAACAATTTGAATGCCACAAATCTTGATAGCAATGGCTAATTAAATTTCATAACCCTTCGCTCTGTGTCGACAGAGCGGGGCCCTGTTCCTCCCCAAGCTGGAACTAGGTGTTTTGTTGTGATAATTAAAGACGAAGCACGGGTCCCTTTAATGGAGCCATCACACTAATTGAGGTCTACACATCCAAAGACAAACAATAATGAATGTAAATTTATACCAAAATAAAGTGCAGCAAATCAAAGGGCGCCATGACTGCGCTCAGGGCCTCTCTTGGTATTTAGATCGCGGTGAGAAAACATTAAATTAACAGAGCTTAATTTGTAGCCTTTTGTCATATTAACAAGTGTTGACAAGAGTTACCAGGGGAGAGCCCCTATGAGGAATTGTGGGTAAAACACAAGCAATCACAGTTCATTACTCTAATTTAACCAAACAGACATGCAAAATAGTATTTGCCACAAAATAAGAGTTGAGCTCGGCAAGGGCCTAAGAAAGCTCAGAGGTGCTGCTGTGGTCCAGGAGTGATTGCGTTTGAAAATCAACTTTCACTACGACAACCCACTCTCAGGGAGAAACGAGAGACAGAGAAATCTTTCACAACATCCTGCTGCCCGCAGTGCAACATGACAGGTGAGAACAACTTTCATTTACTGCTCTTATAGTCGTGATTTAGCTTGATATACATCTGGTGCTGATGAAGCGTAATAGGGCTTCGAAACTCAAGGAATTTTCAAAGTTGGAAACTTTCCATGGTAATTGGGGTGGCTGTGGATGAGTGGTTAGAGCAGTCGTCCTCCAGTGGGAGAGTTGGGGGTTCAATTCCACCAGCAGTCACGTGCTGAAGTGCCCCTGGACAAGACACTGAACCCATTGCTTCCGATGTGTGTCCCATTGGTGTATGAATGTGATAAAGCACTGATTATAGATCTAGTAGAGTGCTGTAGGAACAGGTAAATGAGGGCACAGATTGTAGTGTAAAGCACTTTGAATATCTTGATAAGTTAGAAAGGCGCTATACAAGTACAGTCCATTTACAATTAATTTACATAAATTTATGGGAATAACCTGAAATTTTAAATATTGAAAGTTGTCTCGATTTAATTTTAAGTATAGTTTGAGGGTAAATCTATTTTTGCATAATCTTGACAAAAACAACAAAATACATCTATGCACACAGTGATGGCATGAGTGATGTTACAATATGCAAATTAGGTAACTAAGTTTGTGGCTTTTGTAAACTTCAAGTCAAACACGTTATTTGTGGGGTGTAACTGGGACACTGTGTACACAATCTCGTTCCACCACATGTACCACGTGTGGCGCGAATGATGAATAAAGAAACCCTGACTCTGACTCTTATTTGTCTATGGACAGGGGTCTGCAACCATTTTTACACCTTTGTTCACTACATTAAATGTGTCCAGAGCCCCAACAATCTGCTACAACTGTGATTGTCAACTGGTGGTCCATGGGCCACTTTAAGTTTATTGGAGGAGACTTTTGTGGCCAGTAAGGATGACACTATAAAGCTAAAAATATCTAATGATTTCTAATATTTATTGATATTTTTACAACTTAAGACAAATGAAAAGACCAGATTCTTGTAAAGAGGGGGGATTATTTTTATTTTATTTTATTTAAAAAAAAAAAACTATGAACTGTGCAGGCCTATGTGATTTTTTTTAATTGTGGAGAAAATAATTAAGTATAGAAATAAAGCAAAAAGTTAAAATGAGTATTTGCAACAGGAAAACAGCTAAAACTAGATTTTTGTTGTTGTTTCTATAACAACCAATAAAATTCAGTTTTATGTCAGTTTTGGCCAAAGTGTGAAAGAGCCGCTGTGGAGGGACCAAAGAGCCACAGGTTGCAGACCCCTGCTCTATCGCAAAACAAAACGCTTGTTTTTTTTGTTTGGACATGATACGGTTTGATACAAAACACCAAATTTCTAGTTATTTTTCATGGAAAGTTTCCAATTTGGAGTATTTCCCAATTGAAATAGTCTGGAAAGGTTCCAGAAATTTATCAGAATTTTTTTTTCCCCATCAGTCTTAATTATTATAAACTTATGAAGTTCACAAAAAAATACAGATGGATAAGGAGTAAAAAAAAAGGAGTTGCTTACTGTGGTACTAACCATCCTAGCGGATGGGGAATCTGGCCAACAGTGCCAGGTGACAAAGGGTAATAAGGAGATATGTCTGGAGGATGGGGAGGTCGTGGAATTCCTGTGAAAGAAAGATGACGGCAGGAACAGAGAGGAGGTGGACAGACGAGAGAGAGAGAGAGACAGAACCACATATTTGTCAGTGCTGTATTCATTTTGGTTGAGTTTCACATCTGAATAGGGCAGACATCACAGGAGTGCAGATGGAAGCAAGAGGAGGAGGATAAGGGCTTGTTGCTCGCATGTACACTGTGTTAATTCACACTTCCTGATCAAAGGCCTTTGAGCAACGGCACAATGTGTTCGAAGAGGCAGAGGGTAGGGAAGTGAGGAGAGCACACCAACACGATTCTTGTCACATTTGTCTGGCAAATCAGCAGATTAATGATATAAAATGGCTGAGGTTTAGACGTTAACAAAACAAAGCGTTTTAATTAAAAGCTGTCTCTGTGATCAAAGAGCTGCCAATAAGGGCATAACAGCAAGCTAAATTTTACCTGATGTATACTGTACATGTAATACCTATAGCAGGAATACAAACAGGTACAAATGATGAGTACTACTTTTATACTTCTGACTAGAGTAGATATTGACTGCCTGTAGCTTTATATTCAGAATATTTGTGCTGGATCAGTGGTCTCCATTCTTCCGAATAATCCATAGACTTGACGTAAAAACATCAGCGGTTTTTGTTTGTTTTCCCCTGCTGACAAACGGTGACAAAGATGTCCAATTTAAGGACGGATCACAAAGCTACCGCAGCATCCACAGTGGAGACTTTACTTTCTGCGGCAGCTGACAAGCCAAGAAACAGCATCGACAAGCTGCCCTGAATGAACGCCTTGAAAAGGTCCTGAACACAGCAGAGTGTAAAAATAACTTTCTCTCTCGAGACGAACTTGAAACAAGGAACACTAGACTTGTGTGGAAGACAGCAGGGGGGTGAAGCGCCCACAGAAAATCAGAAACCAGGGGACTTCCTTGGCTGTTGGGTGTTACTTCTAAACACCAGTTGTTGTTGCAGGTATTTTGGTGATCGCCAACAAGGCCACACTAAAGCCAGGTGATTTTTTTTTTTTTTTGCCAATTAGAAATAGGTTACAGTTGTTCAGATCTGAATAAATGGTCTTTGATGCACAACATGGTGTGTTTGAATGTGGTTTTAAATCTAAACTTTTCTAGGAATACCATTTCCACAAAGGCAAGTTCTATTGAAAAGAAAAGCTAGGGGAACGTTATCCCATCGCCATGCAGCGCTCCAAACCTAATATAACTCATTAATTAATTAAACACTGTGCCCAATTAAGCAGCCCCATTAAGCACTACATTAAACAGCAGCTGGCACATTACTTCCCCTTTGTAAGGGCCATCATAATAAGAGAACATTATTGCCTAAAACACAGCCTGAATCCACCAGAGACCACAAAAAAAAAAGCACAAAATTATTCACCACACAGAAAATGCATTAACCCAAAAGAATGGGCTGAATGACAGTTAACAGAATTAAGTGCTGGGTCAAGATGCTTACGGAAATGAATGAAATTACCTTAAAAATGTAGGCTAAATGTTTGTGGGACATGCTTGTGTGGGTCAAATCTGACAGGCAAATTTGGACACAAAATCTGCAAACTCAACAGGATGAAAGTAAAGGAGCGCAAAAAGACAAATTTGGAAAAAATAAAATATTGTTTATAAGCTACAAAAAGTGCTCCAACTTTCTATTATGAGGAGTATTAGCTGAATGTTCGCTGCTCTCTGGTAAGGAGCTCCAACTATTGTGGTCGACTTGTGTTCAGCAACTGGATTTGCGGTCATGGGAGTTTTACGAGATTTACATGAAATTCATGAGGCACTGCTCAGGTTATTGTTTTTAAAATAAAAAGGCTGCTTTCCACTAAAAAAGCAAACCATGGTAATGAGGGCTATAGCCTGACAACAGCTGAGAGCTGCAGCTGTAAACAAAGGAGCGCTTGAGCTGACCTTGACCAAGTTTAATCGTCACAGACTTAAAAACGATGTTTATGAAGTCATCATGTAAAAAATTATGGAGCAAAACAAACAATTTATGCTTAATTCCTTTCGATCTGAAGTGCAAGTATTGCAAAAACAATACTAAGAAATAGGGATGCACGATATTATCGGCATGGTATTGGTATCGGCCGATATTAGCGATAAAGTTAAATATTGGCCATTCCATCAAAATAACTCACCAACATAAAAGACTTCTGTTTTAAGTTAATTTTTAATTTAAGAAACTGTCATGTATATCTATTAATGCACTACTACTTATGCACTTTTCACTTGTCGCTTGTGAACGGGTTGAGTTTAGATTTGTGAAAATGTACAAATTTGCATTGTTCAAGTGTTGTCATTGTTTTAGAGAGTAAATGTCATGAATAAATTTGACATTAAACATAATCCAAGTTCAAGTGTTACATCATTTTCAGCCCCCTTTTTGACATCTGCATTTGGTAGCAGGTCAAACTGACAACGACCATGCAGAATAATGTATTTTAATTCCACAACAGAGAAAGTTTTGTAGTCTCTGTAAGTAGGTCTAGGAAAAAATATCGATATTGGTATCAGTTATCGGCCAAATAAGTTTGAACATAATGACATTTCGGATATCAGCCAAAAATCCAAAATTGTGTATCCCTACTAAGAAACATAAGCCCATAGGACTCTGCATAATATCTGCAACAGTCTACCTGGTGCTTTATTTAAGGATAGCTGATTCTGTGTTTTATTCTCCTCTGAAAAGTCAAATTGTTTAAAACATTTTAGCGTTTCCGGCACTTCTCAAACACATTGTGCTGAACTGTAATGGTGCTTTGGTTGATCTCAGATGCTACTTGAACATCTACTTCTGGCGATAAACAACGGAGAGACTGTGCTTGTCGGGCGTTACCTGTTTTGGGATCCACGTCTGTCTGTAGGTGAGGTGGTGGGTTTCCTGGTGTGAAGTGCTCATTGCTGTAGGTGATCAGAGGTGTGAGAGGATGCACATGGTGCGGGTGCTGTACCACTGGAACCTTATTAGACTGACAGAAAGAAGGTTGCAAAGAAAAGGGAAGAGGGGAAAGAGAAAAATGGAAGCAATAATGTTATTTAGATTTGAGACTAAAGGCACATGCTACAGAGTTACAGCTCAAAAACTTCAAAAAAAATTAAAAAGTGCTATCAGATTCCGAGTATGCCCAAGATGCCAAACCACCAAACCACAGCAAAAATAGCATGGTTTGTAATTAAAAACACTTCTGCGGTGTCAAACTGGAATCCAGTAACTCAATCTAAGAGGTTTGTGGGGTTTTCACGGCACATTTGGGTTTGATGTTTGATAATACACTTTCAAACCTCTGTTGCAGTGAAGTAATCAATCATCTGTAAACCACAAAATCAAGGCAGCGCGTGTAAATCTACAGCTATTAGCAGCTCTTCAGCTCCCCTCTCTCCCCCCTTTTCCTCATCTATCCCCCTGGGGCCCCAAGTCATGGAGGGTATGAGAGTATTGTAATAGGAGGGGTAAGTATTGAAATTTCCATTTCTGCATTTTTACCAAATTAGTTGTAGCCATGTAATCTTTTTATTCTCTTAAGTGGTGCGGATTCCCTTTTTTCAATTACAGTGGAGGTTTAGGGGTGTGCTGCCGTAGGCCCTTGTGTTAACTGGAGCTCAGGTCCTCCCATCAGACCAGGCTGGGACAGAGAATACACACAGTCCCTGAACACGAGATAACCAGATTAAAACAGCGCTGTGGATCAGGCTGGTGGCAGAGGCTGCTCTCACCTCTTTACCCACACATCCTTATCCTGCCCTCAGCAGTCAAAGAAGCAGCACTAATCAGGCTTATCATAACATGGATGATATGTTCGGGGGGTGGAGAGGAGTAAGACACTAGGCTGCTAGTGTATGTGTGCACTCTCACAGGCCACACACCCTCATTAGTGACTTTAAACCATGCAAGAAAGAAAAAAGAAAGAAAGCAAGCAAGCAGGCTCCACTGTGGCACATTTCCAAAAGACTTTGAAAAACATTAATGGGTCTAGATGTTGGCAGGGGGGCTACATGCTTAAGATGCACAGTTGCCCGATGCTCGTTGACAATACAAATGCAAAGCTGTGGGCCCAGGGCAAGACAAATGTGTGCAGAGCTTAATGCTGCAAACTAATCATCTACCCAAGCTGTTTGAGGTTGAAGTTATTGGTCTGTTTGAGAAAAAAATACATTGGTTTATTCAGGGGCCCCATGTTAAATGTTCATTGGGTGTTAAGGCAGTCTATCTGCATGTTTAGAACATGTAGACCCTTTCTACACAGTAGCAGTAGTGGGGGAGCTGGAAGTGTATGTGGAAAAGAGGGGGGGTGGCATTCCCTATTGCCGTGGTCCCAATGAAAGATTAATGAACCCCAGCAGAACTCCAGGGAGGCAGAGACACTCCTGGGACTCATTCACAGCCCTGAGCTGAAAGGGCTAGGGAGGGGAGAGGGAGGTCGGTCAGGAGGGGTTCCTGTTTGGTTGTCAGGGGTGGAGGTGGGGGAGATGGTAGGTGGAATGAGTTTCCTTAGAAAGAAACACAAACTGAAACACTCATTTGGGATTCAGATCTGATCTGCCAAAACAGGAATGAAAAAGGAAAAAATTGGAAGAAAGCAATGGGGTTTTGGCAGTTACCAAACATCTCAAGAGTTGGTTACTCATAGTATGAAGATGGCCCAAATCCCTTCTTCCTGTGCCACCCCCCTCCAATCCCTCACCTCTTAACCTTCTTCACTACTCTGCTACTCCCTCCACTAATAACGTGAAAGAATGTCGATTCTTCATCTCTTCGTACTGAAACACTTTAGTGGCGATTTAAATGAGTTCTTTTGTCTTGGGACAACAGCCATAGAGAGGACAGTTCAAAATGTCCCATCCAATGGGTCCACATTTAGACAGAGGGTGTTAGGGAAATTGTGCAAGGTGGATGTGGTGGTACTGGGAGATGCTAGAGCTCAGATGATTCGTATCAGTCACTTTTGGCATCAGAGCATGCCCTTTTTGTTCCAGAAGTCCAGAGTGATGCAAACAGCAATGTGCCGCACCAACTAAAGACAGATGCTAGAAACAAAAGGAGTGTTGTAACACAAACTTGTTTTCTATTGCTAAGGAAGCTTTTAAAATACATTACTGTAAAGGTTTTTATATTAAAAAAAGCTATTGCACCATCAGTCTCACACCCACACTGTGTACCGTTTGTAGTCAGCTCACATGCACACTGCATGGCATGTGATCGCCACACTAATGCAGTTAGCGTCAACTGTATTTTCTGCTGACACCAAGGCAGAAAACGGTGGTCCCTGTGGAAAGTAGCTGCAGCATTTGCCCTGTGTGGCCAGCGAGGACAATACAAGCTCCAGACTTCTCATCTGGCAGGCTGCTGGGTGCTTCGGCTGCACAGAGTCCACAGAGCGCAGAGAAACAAAAGCGGGCAACGTGGGAGGCGTTGCTCTCCTTTCTCCACAAAAGCCAGGGGAAAAGAAAGAACACTTCCTGCCCTTACACCCTCGCTGGCTCGCATCCTTCCCACCACCTCTGTCCTTACAACAAACAAACATAGTGGAAGGCAGACACATTGCTCTGTAGACGCGATGACCGGATTTTCGAGCCTTTAGAAAAAGAAACTGCATTCAGAAGCCCCTTAAGATAAATTTAAGGGCACCCTCTTGCATGAACATCAATGAACACATTTACTCTCTCCACATCCAAGGCTCATACGGTGCCTGTTGCTGAGAAAGGCCAGTGCTATGAAATCCATGCAGCACACTTTAGCTGCAGTAGTTGTAGCCTCTGGTTATGTTATTGATATTGCCTCGGCTCTTATTCTATTCTTCCTCTTCAATCTACGAGGTTCATAAGCTTATAAGAAAAACAAACTATATTCCTCAGTAAGTCATTCAGATTGCACTCATTGTTCACAATGGTGCTTCTCTACAATTCTTCCAAATTACCGAATAATTTTTCCAAGTAACTCGTATAAAAGTGTCATAGCAGTAGATGATTTATGCTACCATCAGAAGAAAAAAAAGCCATTTGGAAGTGGACAAATAAAAGAACTGCTTCAAGTCAGGCCTCAGAGGAATAATGGGGCCTGGTGCAGAAGAAGGCAAACAGTGGAGAAATCCTGACAGCAGGATAGAATAAGACAAAGGGAGGGAGACACAGAGGTGGAGGCCGGAGAGGAAAAAGCTGTTGGCCTTGCATTTCCGCTTGATGGCACCTCGCAGGGCCAGTTTGAGCCCTAAATGTGAAGGTGGTGACCTTGTGGGCCCAGTGGGTGGCTTGGGCAGGGAGGGGTGGTGGGCTGGAGACCCTGTCTTTCTGCTTTATGTCATGATATGATGAGTTGTCACAACAGCTTGCGGGGCGCTAATGAGCTGTAGTGAGGCTGGGGCAGAGAAAGGGGAGGCTGGGGATGTGGGGATGACAGTGGCATGATGGATTGGGGGATCCTCCAAATTCCAAAGCAAGGAGGGGGGGAAATGCTGCCAGAGCTCTGGCTCTCCAAAAAGCATGCAATGGCTTCAGAAAATGTACATGCACAAATAAAAATAACACAGAAGATCTTAGGAAAGCATCACAAAACAGTTCAAGTTTGTTTGTAAGTAGGCACGGTTTGATTCGATGCATACATAAAAAGTGCACCAGTCTTATCTGTCATTTTGTAACGCTCAGTGTTATGTTGAAATCGGTTTACACACAGTGGCTGTTATCCTTTGAGAGGTATAGAGTGCCCCCTCTAGGCTACAGTTCTTAATCAAACCCCATTTTATACCGCCCATGTGCCTCAGATTCAAGCAGAAAACAAAAAGGACTAAATTAAAAATATGAAAGTTTTCAAACAAATTAAAGAGTTGTAACTTTCCTTGCTAATAAATCTGTGATTTTATTATTTTTGGCAAGCTCAAAATGAAAAGAAGAAAAAACAATTCCAAGAACCTGCTAATTGTAAGAGGGGGCGTTTAAAAAGGGCAAAAAAAAAAAAAAAAGCTGAAGTTGTTGAGTTTTCTCTCGCAGAGAAGATGCATCTCTGAGGGCAAGAGGCTCCTGAGACCACAGTATATTTAAAAGTTAATCTATTCACTTTGCTGCAGTGACACGCCGACTGCTTGATCACAGCGCTGAACAAAAATATTATGTGGGCCAGAGCCTTTGCTCCCCTTCCTCCTGCTCTCTTTGCTAGCACTCAAGTCAAGCGTCACCATTTATTTCTTGCTTCCCATCTTTGATAGTTGGCACATCAAATAGAATCTCAGAAAGGACACGCTCGGATATGTCACCGATAAATAAAACCTGCACAAATAGCTTAAATATGAAGTGGTATTTGGCAGAATTGTTGTGTTCTGTGAAGACAAATCACCTCTTTTTAGACAAGCACGTGTGGTAAAGCGCCTTTTCCTTTTCAGGGTAAACAGGCTCTTGAACTCCCCATACCTGAGTTGAAGGGGCTTCTCTGAGAGATGATATTGCATCACGGCGTTAAGAGCCACACTGAATCCTGCCTTTTGAAATGCAATCAGCTCCTCAGAATTTCAACTGAAAGCCAAGCAATTAGGAGCTGGAATTGAGAGGCAACGTTAACAAAGGAATATATTAATCTGTGAGGTTATTGAAATCTTATTTTACATTTCATGGTTTAGGCATGAGCTTGATCAAATAATGTTTTGTCGAGTAAATAATACTCCTCTTGAGGGGATCAAGTCTGAACAAATACACTTTTTAAAATCGTTTAAGACATGTTATTTATCTTATTTGGAGTTTGAGCTTGTTGTTGTTTTTTTTTGTTGTTGTTAAACTTAAGTTTGTTTTGTTGGTTAAACAAACTTACGGATCTAAATTGAAGATTTCGACGCGTCATCGTTTTTAGCGCAGCTGTCAGTCTTGCACACGAATTTCACCTCGAACACAGCGAGAACTTGTCGAAAGGATCCTCAGAGGTTTTGGTGTTAAAGAAAAAAAGAAAAAAGCAGGAGCGGAGCAGTTTCAGGTGCCAGCAGCCCACCTG